CTTGTGAAAAATGACACCGTCATAACAGAGGACCAAGAACTGGCAGAAATTTTAAATGATCATTATATAAAAAAAGTAGAAGAATCCAGCGGTAAGAAGCCCATTAGACTTGCAACAAATCGCTTGGTTCTTGATAAGTATAAAAACCTTCCTAGTGTCCTAGCTTTCATTCAAAGCCCAGAGGAAGTCCTGGCTACTTTCACTTTGCAAGAGATAGGCAGTCAAGAAGTTGCAAAACTATTAAAATCCCTGAGTGGCAAGAAATCTACTGGTGAAGATCAGATTCCCCCGAAGCTTGTATCCTTGGCTGCAAATGAAGTACAAATACTTTATCCACGGCAATAAACTGTAGTATTAGAAACTTTTTTTCCCCAAACGATGCAGTGAAAGTGGCAGTTTGCCCACTAGATAAAAGGGAATCAAATCATACATTAGAGAGAAATTTCCGCTCAGTTAGTGTTCTCAATACCCTTTCAAATATATATTGAAAAGTCTAATAAAATCAATTGGTTCAACATTAAGATTACACGCTTTCAGTCTTCATTGCTGCCTATCGACAAACGTATGCAACCCAACATTTTTTGATACGTTTGATAGAAGACTGGAAGACTAGCCTTGACAATGACTATCTCGTTGGTGCAGTCTTAATGAAACTTTCGAAAGCTTTCGGTTGTGTCCCACATGATTTGCTTATCGCCAAACTGCATGCGTATGGATTTGATGAAAATTCTCAAGTTCTAATTTCTTCCTATCTCAACAAACGAAAACAATGTGTTCGGATAAGCAATTCAAAAAACCCTTTTCAAGAGGTTATGTCTGGTGTACCCCAGGGCTCTGTGCTAGGACCAGTCCTGTTCAATTTTTACATAAATGACTTATTTCTATTCCTAAAACATGCAACCCTCTATAATTATGCAGACGACAATACACTTTCTTATTTTTCTAGAAATATGCGTGATCTTGTATATATCTTGCAAGAAGAAACGGGAATCGCCTTATCATGGTTAGAACAAAACGAAATGATTGCAAAACCCTGAAATATTTCATGCTATAATTCTTAGATAAAACAAGAAAAATACTAGTGGAGAACAAATGATCATTAATGGTAAAAAAATTCAATCTGAGGAAACAGCGGAGCTTTTAGGAGCAACGTTGGATTAAAAAGTTGATTTCGACCCGCATATTTCGAATCTTTGCAAAAAAGCTGCAACACCATTGAATGTTCTTAAAAAGATTAAGACGTTTATTGGTTTCCAGAAGAAAAAGGTTCTTGTCCAGAGCTTCGTAGATTTCAATTTCAATTATTGTCCCTTGGTCTGGTATTTTTCATTGTCTAAATCATTACAGAAAATCGAACAGATACAAGAACGTGCCCTTTTCAAGAAAGATTTCTCTATAATGATCATACAAGATCGTATAACGATCTGCTTGTGAAGGCAGACAAATGCACGATGCTCGTCGCTTGTCAAAGAGTTCTGTGTATTGAAATATTCAAAACAGTAAAACAGTAAGGCCCACCTTTTATGCAGAGTATTTTTAAACTACGTTTGTCAAATTATTCATTAAGAAATCCAAATAACTTAGCCAATGTTACACCTAATCAAACAGCATCTGGATCCAAAAGTCTTATGTCAATCGGGCCACAGATTTGGAATGGCCTACCCAACGAGTTGAAATCTGCAGAAAATATGAAGAGTTTTAAGAATCTAATAAGACAATGGGACTGACCGAATTGCAAATGCAGTGCCTGTCAGTTTCAGCCAGAAAATGCAATGTACCCTTTTATTTGTATCCATAATTCCTTTTTATGTACTAACTGGAAGCTATATTCGATTTTGATTAGTTAACATTGTATATCTATGTATTTATTGTTAGCCATTGTTTCTTTACAACAACAACATGGGAGATTCTAAATCTTGTACCGACCTGATTTTTACCGATTACTCTAACCTCTTTGTTCAATCCGGTGTTCATTCTTCTCTGCATTAGCAATTTCAAGACCAAATGGTTTATGGAAAATTATCTGTCACTAACCTGGCACCGCCCCCTTACACTCGTTTGGTACTATGATAAGGCTAATGTCAAGGCGTTTCAGAGCAGCATTGACTTGTTTTACTGGCAAAAGCATCTTGAAAATATTATACATCCTAACGAGTAGGTTGAATTGCTCAATGAAGTCCTTCTAAACATTTCTCTAACTTTATACCGAACAAGTTGGAAACTATGAGGCCTCGCGAGGCACCCTGGATAACGCAACCTGTGAAAAACTTTTTGAGGAAAAAAATCAATGCGCACAAAATCTTTGAGAAGAATGGCCAGCCAAACGACAAACTTGATGGAATAGAGAAGATGATATCAGAGGGTTCTAAACTAGTTGAGAACGCAAAGAAAAATTATCTTTTAAAGGCTGGAAAGTCATTGATCAACGCTGTACTAAACAAAGCTAAGATCCCACTTACACCGCCACTTCTAGAAAATGATATATTTGTAACGAACTTCACTGAGAAGGCGCAAATATTTAATGATTATTTCTTGCTCCAGTGTACGACAATAGATACAGGTAGTGAAATCCCACAGGATGAGCCAGTAACTGCCACCCTGTTGAATGATTTTGCATTTCTGAGGAAAAAATACTGAATATTATAAGATCACTCAATCCTAAAAAAGCACGAGGCTGGGGTGAGATTTCTGTGAGGATGATAAAGCTGTGTGATATAACCTTGGTTATACCACTGAAGATAATATTCATAAACTATTTGAGAAAAGGTATATTTCCTGAAATATGGAAACATACAAATGTAGTTCCTGTTCATAAGAAGAATGAGAAAAATATCAAGGGGAACTATCGTCCTATTTCTCTTTTAACAATCCTTAGAAAAATACATCTAAAAACTCATATTTGACTCTCTTTACTCTCATCTTGTCTCCTTGAATCAGCTAGAACCCGAATCAATCTGGTTTTCGTCCAGGCGACTCAACAATCAACCAATTGATCTTTATAACGCATCCAATATTTACAGCCTTCAATTGTAATCCACCACTTGATGTTCGGTCTGTGTATCTCGATATTTCAAAAGCGTTTGACAGAGTATGGCATGATGGCCTCATATATAACCTAAAGCGATGCAGCATCTCTGGTCAGCTCCTATTTCTTTTTCAAACTTTTCTCAAAAATCGAAAGCAGAGAACAGTTCTGAACGGGCAGGCTTCTAACTGAAGGATGGGGGATATCTTAGCTGGTGTACCCCAAGGATCTATATTGGGACCCCTGTTCTTCCTTGTATATTCAAATGAACTGACTGGGATTTTAAAGTGCAAAGCTAAGCTCTTTGCAGATGACACGTCCCTATTCACTATAGTTCAAAACTCAAACACAACTACCAGTGACCTGAACTACGACCGAGAGTTGGTGAGGAAGTGGGCTCACGATTGGATGATGTCCTTCAATCCTGACCCAAAGAAGCAAGCAGTTAAATTAACCTTTTCGAAGAAAAAATCCGCAATTGATCACCCAGTAATACTATTTAATAACTTGCCCGTCATGAAAGTTGATGAACATAAACATCTTGAAACTGTTTAAAATATTATAGCCATTTAACCATGAGGACTTGGGTCCGCATTTTATATTCACACTGTTTGTAGTTAGAACCGCAGGGTATCATGTTTCAAGTTGAGTTGTTATGTTGAGTTTTGGTGAAGTCGCAAAAAGAGAATTCATCGCTAAAGTTTCGCTATTTTATACGAGTGAACTCGCAAGGTTGGGGTATTTCCAACAACTGGCACCTCCGACGGGACCCACACGGGGTCGTGGAATAATTTGGTGGAAATTTTAGCGGGAAAATGTCTGAGAACGGCGACTCAGGAACGACGACGCGGGACGAAATGGCCGCACTCGAAGAATTGAAGGACGAGAGAGAAGTATTTAAAGAAGCCTTAGAGGACGCATTTTATCGGTTAAATGAATTAAATGGTACCGAAAATGTCGATCAGGAGCTCTCAAAGGAAGTTAAAGAACTTCAAATCGTGATAGAACCAAGTTTAACCGAGATTAAAGACCTCGACGTTAAGATACAAGCGGAAATGCGAAAGTTGAAGTTAAGATCGTGTTTGGTGGAAGAAATAAAACGAAGCAGGGCATACGCTGCCAAAGTACAAGTGGCTTTGAACAAAGCCGCAGTAACTGAAAAGAAACAATTTGAAAGGGGAATTGTAACCGGAATCGGGGGTTCAACGAGAGCCCAAAGGGAAGACCCCAGAACAAGACAGGGAGATATGTCACCGGGTTTTCTATTTTCAAATTTCCCACCAGTGGAGCTTTCAAGTGAAGGCGCAAGGGCAAGTAATTTGGAGAATTTTGGAGAAAAGGCCGACATTGGTGCGCAAAGATGGGGGGAGCAGCCAGGAGAGTATGGGCAACAAGACATCCTAGGACAGTACAGCGCCTTTGGACAGTTTGGAACGAATACTGGACAACCAGGACCTATCGGACAGTCAGCAAGCAGAATGCAACCTCAAACAAGATTCAACCCTCTCCCAGGAAATATGCGGGAACGTGAGAATGCAGTTAATTTTGGAGTCCAAAATATGGTGAAACTGCCGAGATTGGAGCTTAAACGCTTTAATTGGGACCCAATGAAGTGGTTAGAGTTCTGGGAGAATTTCGAAAGAAATGTCCATGACAATCCAGGCTACTCGGATGTACACAAAATGTCATACTTGAAGGCATGTTTAGATGGGCCAGCGAGCACGACGATCGCCAATTTGTCAATAATTGGGGACAATTACAAACCAGCAATAGCAATCCTCAAAGAAAAATATGGACAGACAGGATTGTTGAAGGAAGCCCATATGGCAGCTTTAAAGGCGACACAAGGAGTTTCAAATGCAAGAGATGTGAACAAATTGAGGAAATTTATGATGATGTAGACTCACACTACAAGGCGCTGTCGGTATTAGGAGTTCCAGGAGAGCACTACTCGGTAGTTGTTGTCCCAGAGTTGATGGGTAAAGTACCAAGAGATGTAGCAATCAACATACGTCGATCAAAGGATGTTAATCATGAGTGGATGATAGGAGAGTTTCTTGATAAGTTGTGGCAAGAATTGGTGATAAGAAGTGCGAGTGAGTCACAAGACCAACCAGTATTCGAAAGGAGAAGAGAGGGCAGAGTACTTTCAGTCAACAGTACCTCTTGTGTTTACTGTCTTGGAGAACATCAAAGTAGAGAGTGCAGCCAAGTCAAGGATCCTGATAAAAGAAAGGACATTTTGCGTAAATACAACAGATGTTTTCAGTGTCTTCGATAAGAACATCCTCAAAGAAAGTGCAGAGATAAAAGGCAGTGTGACAAGTGCAAGAAAACAGGGCACCACACATCGATATGCAGTGGAGAAACAACCCCAAATTTGCATGTTGCCACTAAAGGAGCTATTGCGTATCAGACGGTGCAGGCAAAGATTAACATACCAGGGTATGACTCAGTTCCATATCGCATGCTGCTAGAAACAGGTAGTGACAAAACGTATTTGGTGCAGAAGATTGCTGACAAATTGAAAGGTAAACCCATTCGACATGAAACAAAGGTTCTTGATACTATTCATGGAAGCAGAAGCCACAGGTGTGCTGTTTATAATTTAGAGATCAGGAATATGGAAGGAGAAGTTCAGCTCATTACAGAGGCCGCAACGCTAAGCAAACTGACAACTGTGAGGAACGCCAGACCTGAAATTGTACAGCAAAGATTTAAGCACTTGAAAGACATCAAATTCTCAGATGTGTCGGAGCACGACGAATTGGAAATTCACGTCATAATTGGTCTTGAAGATTTGGGTAGAGTAAAGACAGGACGTTATATACGGGGGGAGGAAGATCAGCCTATTGCCGAGGAAACCAAATTAGGATGGACTTTGTTAGGACCAACTTATCAAGGAACAAAAACTGATGATCAAGAAAGTAAATTGTTGTTTTGTATGGAGAACAGGCCAGAGATAGCTACAGAAGTAGACAGGCTATGGGACTTAGAGACTGTCGGGATCCGAGAAGGTGATCCAGTGCACGTGGAGTTCAAAGATACAGTCAAGTTCAACGGTAGACGTTATGTAGTAAATCTACCTTGGAAGTCAGCAACAGCCAAAGCCTCATTACCAGACAACAAGAAGCTATGTGAAAAGCGGCTACGTTCTCAGCTGAAAAGATTATCTAGAGTCCCGGAGCAGTTAGAAGCTTATGATGGCATCATACAAGAGCAGATAAAGGCGGGAATTGTGGAAAAGGCTCCCAAGAAAGAAACAGGGGTAACAGCCACCCACTACATACCCGATCATGCTGTCATTCGACAAGAAGCAGAGTCAACAAAAGTGAGAATCGTGTTTGACGCGTCAGCAAAGGAGAGGAAAGGTAGCTATTCGCTAAATGAGTGTCTTCACAAAGGACCACCATTGATGCCTATGCTGTTTGACATTGTGCTTCGGTACAGAATGTACCCCGTTGCTCTGGTGGGTGATGTACAAAAAGCCTTTCACCAGATTGAAGTAGCAGTTGAAGACAGAGATTGCCTAAGGTTTTTGTGGGTTGAAGATCCAAAGAATGCAATTTCAGAGCTTTCTGAGTTGAGGTTCACTCGGGTTATCTTTGGAGCGGGTCCGAGTCCATTCTTGCTAAATGCGACGATGCAAAGGCACATTGGAGGCTATGAGGAGACAGATCCAGAGTTTGTCAGGTTGGTGGTTAAAAGTTTATTTGTGGATGATTTTGTTGGTGGCGGTAGAAACTCGACAGAAGTTATCACATTGAAAAAGAAACTCACCGATGTAATGCAAGAAGGTGGCTTCACTCTTCACAAGTGGAAGTCAAATATTGAGGAAGTGTGCAGCTCGCCAACGGTGGACAGTGAAGGTGATGAAGACGAAACATTTGCGAAGCAGAAACTTAATCTGGATGAGAGCCAAAGTAAAGTCCTTGGGATAAAGTGGAATCCAAGGAGTGATATAATGGCAGTGGAATTGTCACAGGTTGCAGAGGAAGCAGAAAGGGATCTACGCATGACCAAAAGGGAGTTGCTGAGCCGCTTGTCCAGAATCTATGACCCATTAGGAGTTGCGGGTCCGATCACCATTGTTGGTAGAAAGATCTTCCAAGATGCTTGCAAAGAAGGTATAACTTGGGACAGTTTGGTCAGTGAAGATCTGCATGGTAGAGGGAAGACATTTGAAAGGAATTTGAAGCAAAGGTCAGAGATAGAGTTCCCAAGATGTGTTGCATTGTCAGAGAAGCCAAAGGAGATGTCATTGCACACCTTCGCAGATGCAAGTCAAACAGCCTACTGCGCGGCCGTGTATTTGGTTGTGACGTTGCCGCAAGGAAAGTTCAGTAACCTGCTGACTGCTAAAACCAGGCTGCCTCCATTGAAGAAGGAAATGACCATTCCACGTTTGGAGTTGACAGCAGCAAGGATTGCGGCAAGGTTGGCAGCGACAGTAAAACAAGCACTGGCAGGATTTGAGTTAAAACGGGTCTGCATGTTGTCGGATAGTTGCACGGCTCTCCATTGGCTGCAAAGACGAGGTCAGTATCGCCAGTTTGTTGAACACAGAGTCAAGGAAATCGAACATCTGTCAAATGGTGCAACATGGCAGTATTGTCCAACAAGCGAAAATCCGGCGGATCTTGGCACAAGGGGCAAAACACCGCTACAATTACAAGGAAGTGACCTGTGGTGGCAGGGACCATCGTGGCTGATTTCTGATCAGTGGCCAGAACAGCCTATCTTGTCAAGGGAAAAGGAAATCGAAGATGAAGAAAAAAATCCAGTGTTACAGATGGCCACGACGATAAAAGAAAGGGGACTTTCAAGTTTGATAAGGTTGAAAGATTATAGCTCAAAGAGAAGATTACTTGGTGTAACTGCGTGGATTTTGCGTTTTATGAAGAACTGCAGGGCAAGCAAGGGAGATAGGCTCCAACTGAAATACGTTACAACGGACGAAGTAAAGGAAGCGGAAAAAAAGGTGGGTGAAAGTAGTACAATCCGAAATTGAGGAGAGTGCAAATTACAAGCAGTTGGTGCAACAGCTGAGCGTTGTAAAGATAGACGGAGTGATGAGATGCAAGGGAAGATTGCAGTTTTCTGGATTGTCGTTTGAAGTACAGAATCCAGCGTTGTTACCAAGAGGACACCATTATACCAATTTGGTAGTGAAAGAAGCACACGAGCTTGTACTTCACGGATTGGTGAGTATGACGTTAGCCGAGGTCAGACAAAGATATTGGATTCCAAAGGGCAGGCAAGTAGTGAAGAAAGTGCTGAAAGAGTGCAAGCAATGCGCAAAGAGAAGTTCCAAGCTGCTAAAGGGAACAGTCACAGCTCCGTTACCGGAACTTCGGGTTAAACCAGCACGTCCATTTGAGGTAACTGGATGTGATTTTGCAGGTCCAATTCACTTGAAAGGCAATGAGAAGGCATACATCGCTCTTTTCACATGCGCGGTAACACGAGCTGTTCATTTGGAGCTTACAAAGGACATGACAGCTACTGAGTTTAGGGTGGTTCTGCAAAGATTTGTTAGTCGCAGAGGAGCACCTAGCACAGTCATTAGCGACAATGCAAAGACGTTTAAAAGCACAGGAAAACAGTTGAAGAAGATATGCGACAACGAAAATTGGCAAGGATATTTAACGACGAAGAGAATAGACTGGATATTCAACGTTTCCAAGGCACCGTGGCAAGGAGGATTCTTCGAAAGACTGGTTGGAATCTCGAAAACGACCTTGTACAAAGTCTTGGGACGTTCGAAGCTGAGTTTCAGAGAGGTTGAGACAATGCTCATACAGGTAGAAGGCTTGATGAACAACCGACCGCTGACCTACCAGACGGATGAGCTTGAAAGTGAACCTCTGACGCCTAATCACATGATTTTCGGATATGCTTTGCCAACCATCGCCAACGATGCAAACGATGCCAATGAAGAAATGAGTGACGATGAGGAGTCTTCTGCAAGGGTAAATAAGCGACTTAAGTACGTGTCGACAATGAAGGCTCATTTGTGGAAGAGATGGACTCGCGAGTACTTACAGGGACTGAAAGAATACCAAAGACAAGCTGACCGAAAATCGAGAGTGCCGGAAATCGGAGAAATCGTGCTTATCGTTGACAGCACCATCCAAAGAAGACATTGGCGAATGGCGAAGATAGTCGATCATATAAAGAGCAGAGGTAGAATGATAAGAGCTGTTAAACTGCACGTTTTGAGAC